ATAAAATATTTTGGTAGTAAGAGTGTGCTAAAATTGTGTCTTCTAAGTAGGAAAACTAAAGAGGTTTTCTTCCCTTAGGCAAGAATAAAAGTTTAGATGAAAGATGTTTCCAATCTAATAAGGTACTGTTGTCAGCTATGCAAAGTTGTTCAAAATATATAATATTAGATTGTTTAAGTTGTTTTTTAAAGATTGGATATTTAGAATGCTGAGATAAGATTGATTCTAGTGACTGGCCTTTATTACTAATTGTATAGGGTCATATAATATTAGGATTGGATAAAATTACTAAGCCAAGATAGGTAAAAAGTTGAATAATTTTAAAGTTTAATAAGTGTCTGTTAGGACCATCAAAAAACCTAATAATTTTAATTAATTAATATTAATTACTAAAGTAAATATATTTAATTTGATATAGTTAACTTTGTCCCAATAGTAAGTTTTTATAGAATCAGCATAAATTATACAAGTTTTTACTAAATTTAATACACTTTAATTTAAAAAGGATTTTATTTAAAAAAAATTTTTTTTTTAAAGCATAAAAAACAAAACTTTATTTTAATATATAAATTTATTTATAAATTAGAATTATCAAAAAATTAACCTAATTTGATACAGATAAGATAATTTTATAATTTCTTTTTTTTAAACTGTTTCATATTTTTAATGCATTGCTTTTTTGCTTTGCATGTTCTATATCTTTTTTTTTTTTTCTGCATGCTTTTTGTTTTTGCACCTTTTCAGTATCAAGAAATAATTTTTTTTATATAGCCACTTCTTTTTTTTATTTTTTTTCATTGGCTATTTGTTTTGCTTCCTTCTTGACTTCTCTTAACTGTTGCAATAATCTTTTATTTGTGAATAGCTAAAAAAAAGACATAGTTTTTTTTTATTTTAGTAGCTAGAATTCTGTTTGTTCTTTGTTGACTTTTGGTCTTTTAGTTAGTTGTAAACTATGATGCAGATGATATTTCAATACTAACTGCAAAAGTGTTGTACTAGAGTTATTATAGGTTTCAAGATCTTTCTTCAACTGATCAACTCTTTAATTTAACAATATAATCTCTGATATTAATTCTTTTTTTATAAGGTTTACTTTGATAAGATGTGTATGACTTGGAACCAACTTTAAATAAGACTGTGAAGATAAAGATTGTGAAGATAAAGAAGCTAATTGTTCAGAAATTTCTAAAATATTGTTTTTTTTTGTTGTTAATAAGAGATCTAAACAATTAAAGCTAATAAGTATTAGGATCAAAGAGCCAAATTCTTATAGTTTTAAATGCATTGTATATTGCAGCAGATGTATAGATTGTAAATAAAATAGTCTTAAGACTTTAGTGAACCTGTATTTCATCCTAAGCTTATTATTATTATTAATTTTAAACTTATTACACTCTTTATTATATGTATTTTTTAATATAGCAAACAGTAATTTGACTAGCTGTAAAATGTAAATAGTATAAGAAGTAAAGATATAAAGAAGAATGTTATTGCTATAGCAAAAGTTGATACTAATATAATTGATATGACTTTTGTGGCTATCCAGAATTAGCAAAACAGAGCAAGCAGAAGAAATAGAACTAATAAAATGTTCAATATGTTTTTGAAACAAGTCTTTCTATATATACACTATTTCAATAAATTTTATAACAGAGCCAGAAGAAGCATTGTTTCAAAAACCTAGAATTATTTGCTTTCTCTTATAGATAATCAATAGTAGAATATAAGTCTTAGCAGTTAATATAATTAAATATACAAAAATATATTCATAAGAGCTACTGTATAAAACTCAATGAACTTGATATGCATTCTTCTTAACTATAGCTTTTTGTAGCTTATGTTCAATAACAAAACCTGTTTTATTTTAAAAAAAAACATAAAAAAATAAATAAAAAAATAAATAATAATAATAATAATAAAAGATCAACTATATTCTAAATTTTATTAAAAATAAGTAAATATTCTTATAAAATTTGTTAAAATAATTCTTAACAATAATAGAGTTTGTCTTTTGTATACAGGCTTTATTTAAGACTTGTAGTATATGGAATGATAGTTCTAAATAGTCCTTTATGAAGCATTGTCACTATTTTTGACTTGGATCATTTTTATTAAAAAGATAAAGTCTTCTGTCTCAACTAATGAATGATGTTCATCATATACTAGTTTATACCAGATATAGTTAACTTGAAACCAAGCTTCTATATATTTAAACAGTAGCTAATAAGCTGTTCTTCTTCATAGTCTATTAAAATTTTGATATAGTTCAAACATATGAGAGGACTATCATTCTTGATAACACATCTAAGAATAGCTTTCAAAAGGCTATAGTCTTGTGCAATACTTCTGGTACTTGGAATTGAATTATTTTAAGAGTTGTTAATTGTCTTAAGAACATTATTAATAGTAGCATGTCAGATAGCATAATCACTATATTTTGTTATATTTTATTTTAAAATTCGGAAATAAACTATTTTAAACACTTTTGCTTATACAATTTTATTAATGTTAAAAAAAAAGTTTAAATTATATAATTTTTTTTTCTTTTTTATGCAAACTATATTTTTATATATGTTGATACAAATTATGTAAGATTTAATTACAAAAGGGAAACATAAAGGTAATGATAAGTAGCACAATTTGGAATAGTTACTAATACAAAGATATTAGTACACAATTTTAATAAATTAAATATAACTATCTAATTAATATAAAATTATTAAAATTATACTAAAATTAGCAAATATATAGGGCTTATTGATATAAAAAGCTTTTTAATTTACAAAGACCAATTTATTTAATACAAAATAGAGTTTTTTAATTGTTGTCTTTACTTTTTACTAGGACTTAGATGAAGAAAATTCAGTTAAATGATGATATCTTATAACTCAGTAATCATATTTATGTAATTTAGATACTATTTACTTATCTTATCAAGATGGTTCAAATAGTTTCAAAATTACAATCAGTAGATCATAAAATACCAACAATGCATTAAATTAGGCATTGCATCAAATTAGACATATTTACCTTAATAATTAAATATATAAATATTAATTATAGTTGTTCTTCTATATAATCATACAGTTGGGTACATAGTAATTTTTTTAAAAAATATGCTTATAAAGGAGTTGTGCTTATATAAAGGGCTATTTTTTATAAATTAAATTGTAGTTTAGTCTAAATGTAAATGTGATTATATATGATATAATTATATAAGAGGTGACTATATAGTAGGATAACTGTATTACAATTAATGCTAATTTAATTTGAATTTATTACTATATATCTGAGTGTTTCAAAAGTCTCACTTATGATTACTTTTTTTTAAGTAACTTTATACAATTATAATCATTATGATTTTTAAATATAAAGTTACTTTAAAAAAAGAAACCATGAATATAATTTTTGAAACACTCTTTTTATTATCAATTTTAACTCTAAATTCTAGTTCAACTATTTTTAAAAAAATGTATCATAAAATTTTGTATTAAAATAAGCTTCATTATATTGTAATTATTTTTAAATTGTAATTATTATAAGAGAAAATACTGTAAATTAATAGATTACATTAAAATAAAAAATACTGTTTTTTAAAGATAGGCATGTAGATTATTTTTATATAGTTATATATAATATATTAAAATTTTTATCTAAAATTAATATATACTATTAATAAAACTTTTTTATTTTTTTATTAATTAATAAAAAAATTTTGTAATATTATAAATAAAATTATTTATCTATTACAATAAAAATTTGAAGTATTGTATTATTTTAAAAAAATATACTTGTATATATAATAAAGTTTACTTAGATGAGTTAAAATTTCTTAGGTAATACAAAAATAATAAATTTGATTAGTTAATTTACATAAACCTATTAGTTAATTTTATTTTATAATTTTATATCATAATCTTTAAAATTTCATATTTTAATAAGTTTTTAACATATTTTAATAATTTTACTATTATTAGACTCAGAAAAACTTACTTTACAACTTTTACTTAATAATTAAAATTAGTTTACTTAATATGATTTTTCATAAAATTAAATATATAAACAATTTACCATTAGGTTTATATATAATTTTAAAGTACTGCCTTCTACCCTTAATTGTGCAAAAGCGGATTTAACTTTCATGTGATCTGCGTAACTAATTTACAACGCGGGTTCACCTTGTCGTATTATTACTAGAGATTTGTTGTGTTACACGAATATGCAAGTGGAGACAGACGGAAAATTCAAAATTACGGTTTTGATATTTTTATTATTAATGAATCAATAATGATACTTTTGGTGCATCAAAAACGTAACTTTTGTATCACTTTGCATAGAAATTGAGCGTCCTCCGGACAATTAGTATCAATTATTAACACCACCAGTAATAATAAATATTAAAAATCAATCGATTATTATCAATTAACTGTTAATATTGTGATTAATTATTTAACTCGTGTTCGCAAATAATTTTCGGCCGGTATATTAATTAACGGGGTACGTTTATCAGTAATCTTATACGTACTAGCCATCGAAAACTACCAAAAATACAAAAATATCAAAGTTTGTTAAGATTTTTATTTTTTAAATAAGTCTACACTAATATTTAAATTTGTACTGCATTAAGAATAAATGTCTACCTTAATTAAATTGTTTTTATGGTACTAAAAGCAATAATTACATTTTAAGCCTCTAAAAAATATTGTTTATATTATACAAGATCTCGTGCTACTTGTAAATTTTTTAATTTCAAAGAGAAAGCATGTGATAGTGTACGTATTACACGTATTACGGTTACATGGAAATAACTAGCCTAATACATATCTAACTGCTACGCACGAACCAAGCACATATTTATAAAAAGCTTGTGTGTCACGACTAAGCGACCGGCAAGTTATTTAACCGCTGCAACTTTTTTTTCTTTTTAAAAAAAAAAAACAGTAATTTCACAGCCGCAAATTACTATTCATATCAAACGACTTTAAAAATTTTTAGGAATGGACACTTGGCCACCCAATACTGGTGAATCAAGCACCACTTCACACGTGGAAGGTTCCACTAACAGTTCAGCGCAAACCTCAAGTAGTGAGCAGCCCTCTAACAGGGTTATAATGTTACTTGGTCTTGATCCAAATACCACTTCCGGATTGATAACGGTAGAAATTAGATTTTTTTAATGTTTCTCGATTACAGAAATCTAAATCGTTTTTTACTTGATTTATTAGAAAGCGTTTGATTCTTATGGTTTAAAAGTTACAGTTGATTATCAACGAGATGACACTATAGGCTACGTTCATTTACAGCATCCAATTGCTAAGGAAATAGCAGAACGTATTATGAGCAGTGGTGGACTTAGAATTAGTACTGAGGTTTCTGTTCTGCGTGCTTTGGAAGGTAAGCGCAACAATTTAACAACATGCATTTTTAAATCTTAATTCTACATGCTCGTGAAATTTTGAATTCCACGACTAATTTAAGACATACTAATCAATTTTTAATATTAAAGGAATGGAGGACCTAATGTACTGGTCGGTTTATGCTGGACGTCGCATAATTTCAAGGTCAAATGCATCCTACAAAACAGGAAAAAATCGAGTTAAGAGACTCAGTGTTCGTCAACATCCGTACAATAATCAGCGTCAATTCATGGATGTTTATGATGAACAAACATCAACGCATCATCGACAAAAATTACAAGTAAAGGTTGCAGGAAAGCATGGAAGAAAGAAAAGAACAAAGAAAAAACTTCTAAAGCAGAAGAAACGAAGCATCGAAAACGCAAAAAGAATGTTAGAAATGAAACAAGTTGATATAATGGAAGGTCTTGACAATGGAATCGAAGGAACTTTAACTTCACCCATTGTTGATAATCAGTTAGTAGCAGAAGCTAGGACAAAACGTTGCAGTCAAAGTTCAACTTATTCATCATTAGATAGTATAGGGGATTTCATTAATTCTACAAAAGTTCCTGCCTATAATATTCCCATCCACCAATCGTCGAAAGGAGAAGCGGAAATTGTCGATCTGTCAAAAAAGTTTCGTGACTTTTTGATCCCAACATCCCAAAATCAAAAAACTCTTTCTAACAACACTTTTGGGTTTAACAGCAATCCTTTCTACAATATTCCGTATCATCAATCACCACTTAGGCAGGAACTCAAGTTGGAAAGCAAGGATGAAGCGGATGAAGTGGAAAAAATATTCAAAAATTTATACCTCAATTCCGTTGACAATGAATCTACACTATGAATAAACCATACCAATTAATAAATGATCATTCCTGTTGATAAGCGAATAGAACAAAAAAAAAAAAAGAGGAAAAAAATCAAAAAACCATATATACACAACAATAAATTTAAAATCAAATTTGTTGGGAAAGGTTTATGCACAATTTATCTGATTATTAAGAAAGATTGATATCTATATACGCACAAAAACAAGTAACATAATATGCAAGAACTGTTTATACGTAATAGCTTTTATTGAGAAATAAAGGTGAAAAATTTTAATAGTAAATTGCGCCAATGTGATACATGATAATATTAACCATTCCATCACGTACACCTACATATCATTCCTAATAAAAATTACAAAGTAAAGTCTAAATTAGGTAATATGCAAGTCTTATAACTGATAAGAAATAGGCCCTTACGTCAGTTTAAGTCGACTCATTTTTAGTAAGTGAGAAATATTGCGAACTCTATATCGAATATTTTTGCAAAACATCTTGGATTCACCCAGGCTGTAGGGAAATATAAGTTTTGTTTATATTCTTCTGTAAAATAACTATTTAACGCCATGGTGTTACGGATTAAACGTTGGTGAAAGCAAAAACGTGACGATGTGCACATACCTTTGAACCAACATTACACAATAACATTTCGCAAAGCCATTTAGTCAGCTTATGATAGAAATAATCGAATCGGTCAGTGATACAATTTACGTAGTAATTTTCTTTTTATATTATATTTTTTTATTTGCGTGATACATTTAAAATTTTACTCGTTTTATTCAATTTTAATTATCGGTGATGATGCTGAAGTTAAAACCTATTTTAAGATATATGATTTCAGACGTATTTTTTAGTATTAGGTTAGAATTGTCAATATCAGGATGGTAAACGACTTAATGACAAATAATAACTTATCCGGAAAACTCTTATCTGTCTTGTTATTTTTTCACGTGTTACGATCATAAATTGCCGGATAACACCAATACTGCTGTACTGGGCAAGGTAATTTGGCTCAACCGGCCAAATGATTGGCACGTGTTTATTTTGCCCAGTATTGTATACATTACTAATGCGTAACCCGTGCCTCCAGCATGGGGTTAGGTGTAACTTTTATTCGTGTAAGGTTAAAAAAATTTTTAAAGGTTATTTTAATTATATACTATTAAAGAGTCAATTTATTATTTACAATGAATTAAGGTAATGTTTCTTATATTGAAAACTAGGGTTCTGCATGTGCCTATGCCAGGCACTAATGCTTATGGCATGTTTGTGCCATAGGTACAAAAGTGCCGGTCTAAAAAGTGCCAGACACTATGATGCAATGCCTAAAAAAGTGCCGGGCACTTGGTGCCTATAATAGTGCCTGATATTGTCTTCAAGAAATTTTGAAAACTTAGCTTTAACATAACTAAAAACTTTATTTATTATTAGACTACGTGAAATAATTTTCATTTTGTATTATTCACTTACTTATATATACAAAGATCAAATTTTAATCAAGTTACATGTATGAAAATTATTATATAAAAAATATTCAATAAATAATCTTCAAAAAAGATTTTAATTATAAAGATTCACAAATTAAAGGTGTATGTAATTAAATAAAAGCCAATTGAAGTTATTTATTATACAATATTTTTTTTTTATTATGAGTTTTTTTAAATTGAACAAATAGAACATATAATTAGTAATAGCATCTTTTGAATTATTAATTACAAGCATAATCTTTTCTATTACAATTTGCAATAAAAAAGTTAATACTTATTAAGTCTTAATATTTTTTTTGGTATTAAGGTGAGACCTTACTTATATCTTTATTAGTAATTTTAGTTGTACATATTAATATACTATATATTAAAGATATACTAAGATTGTAGAATACAAAATAAAAATTACATGCAAGAATTAAAGCTCAGACAATTTTATCTATGATCTAAACTAAAGCTCAGACAATTTTATCTATGACCTAAACTAACTATAATGGTCAAGGTCTACTTAGATTTGTAATATTAGAATATGATTGTAAGATATGCTATAATTAATCCAAAGTGCCAACTATATATTAATTTTCTTAATAACCTGTTCAATCGATAAACAGGTATTAGGATGTAAGTGTAATTGATCTGTTATTTCATATAGACATAAGTATGTATAGTTTGTATATGATCTTTTGTGATGTCTAATTTGTTGTATTTATTATAAGGCATTGTAATTGTTAGAAGTTTGAAAAGATGTAATATTATTATTTTTTTTTAATTAGAGAAATCAATACAATAAGATTTTTATATTTGGTTATAGATTTGATTATTAATATCAAAAAGTATTTAAATAATAGTTTGTAGGATTATTTTAGTAAGTATATTATAATTATAAATTGTTTCAATTAAGGCTTTGGGTATAAGATCTTTAAGAATAAATTCAAAATAGAAAGAGTTTGTTTGAAATGATATTTGGTCAAATAAGAGATGGTTTTGAATTTTATGAATAAATTTGTATAGCTGACAAGTAGATAAATTAAGATCTGCTTTAGATAAAATATACTGAACTAATAAGTTAATAATGTTTGTAATAAGAGAAGAGTTAGAGCATATTAGCCAATATGAATAGAATTCAAAAAACTTAAATCAAAAGCAATTAAAATTCATAAAAATAGCTAAATAGATATTGTAAAAAGAAAAATGTATTAGTAGTTTGTTTAGTAAAGCTTTGGCTTTAAAGACTTTGAATTGATTAAGCTTAAAGTTGGTAAAATTTGATGAAGGTTTTTGGTTATGATTAAGATATAATTATATAGATTTCCAGTTTATATAATGGTTAATATAAACATATTCAATTTTTTTTTTTTGTGATGATCACATTGCTAATATGTGAGTTTTGCAGATATTTTTGATAAAATGTTTAGTAGGAAGCTTGACAGAATTTTGTTCTTATTGTAAAATATGAAAAGGATTGTAAATATTTGTACAAAATATTTCTTTTAATTTGAAAAATAATCTTAGAGACTATTATGATAAGTTTATTAAGAACTTTATTGATTTATAGCAAAGCAGCTTTATAACAATCTTTGAATACAAATAGAAATACTTAATTGAAAAATATAACAATAAACATGTAGTTAATTATTTATAACATGTTCTTTATACTAACAAAAAAATATAAGCAAAGATGTTTGTGCTTAAATTATTTATCATAAGGATGTCATTAACTTTTCAAGTTAAAAGTTATAACTCTAAGGTTAAGAGATTAATATTTAATTTAAATATTATATTATTAGAACTTGCAGAAAAACTATTATTATGTATTTTTGAAGAGGATAAAAAAACAAAGTATACATTATTTTGTGTCTCGATTTCTAAAGCTGTTCTGGTTATAACAGCTAATATTATTCTTCCAAATGTTTGTAATATGTTGTATAAATATCTTACAATAAAAATATTAAAGATTTAAGAGGATCAATAAAACAAGCACTTCACTATTATGCTGTGATAGTATTAAAAAATAAACTGCAAAAATACTTTAAGGTAAATTCTAATTGTTAGATGAATCTTGAGTTACTCTTTGATATATTAGATGCAATTTATATCAATAATACTTGGTTATATTAATATATTATTGTTATAAATTTTTAGATTAATCTTAAAGATTCTATTCTATTTGGTAAAATCTTAAAATTTACTAATATCATAATCAAATTAATGCTTAGTCTTGTTGATAATAACAAAATTATAGAAATGTAAAGAATTCAATAAGTAACATCTAATAATATATAACATTTTGTAGTCTTTTTAGATAATGGAACACATTTATGTTCTTGTTTTGATCATTGTAATTATGGAATCGTTTGCTAGCATTTTTTTTAAGTAATGCTATGTTTACAAATTGCAATATTCTACATTCAGTTAATAAGATCACATTGGTATAATAATAGTGAAGTTAGCTGCAATTTTGCTCAAGAACTATTTTTGATTGCACAAAAATTTAAAATAAAACAATTAGTGATAATGGTTAGAGTAATTCAGTCCCTTAATGCATTAGTTCAGTCTTAAGTAATGCATAATATAAACCATAAATTGTTAAATAAACAGGTTCTTTGAAACAACAAAATACTTTTTATTGAACAACTTACAACAGCTAATAATTTATATATTCTTTTATAAAACAACATATATATATATACCAAAAAATCTACTCATGGACCTATCCTATCTTGGTTTACTAAACTTTCCAATCATATTCAAAACAATACAATTTTTCAAACATGACTACATCTTAACTTATCAAATATTAATATCTTTATTAATTTTTTTGACACAATCTCTCTCTATCACCTACTACCATTAAATAAATAGTCAATCATTTTTAATAACTTACAAATTCTCTTTGCTACTCTACTGGCTATTTTATTTCTAATACTAAATCTTGGTTACTCACTGTTCTTAATAATCAAATAATTATTGGCAAGGCTAGAAGGCATAATATACCTACTGGCCTTACCTTCATTAATCACTAGCACTGCTCATTCCAGTCTCAGTTCTCTAATCTTTATTCTACTCCTTCTTCTACTACCATATTATACACTAAATGCCATCTTAACTCAAATACAATCACTAACAAATGTATTATCTTTATTCCTACTAACTTGACTACTAAGCTACTTTGTCACATCAATTCTAACAAAACTTTCAACCTTCATACAAACTTTCTTGATATTGCATACTCAGTTACTCTTTGACATCCTTTACATATTCCATCTCTTCTTTTACTTACAATTAATTTACAACAACTACCTTCTATCTTTGAAACATGTCAACTTGTTAATAACCTCCAGACTATTGCTAACTCAAATCACAATCTATCATCTATTTCATTTTATATTGATGGTTCTGTTATCGATCTTGGTACCTCACAGTGCTTCATGGACATAGATTAAGTTCAAGTTGATAACTCTACAACTATTAATTTATTTTAGGCACAAGTTAAACTGTGACTATGCTTCTTCAAAGCTGAAATTCTTGTT